GGACCGGTACCGGTCCACGGACCGGGGGTTGGGGACCACTGAATTAGATGATTAATTAATTTACTTTGTTTTATTTTATTTATTTATTTATTTTTTACAGATATTCAGTACCATGATGGCCCACATAATTCAGCTTAGCCGCGACCGAAAATATAATTTTGTAAAAATTGAGACGCACACTTATTTGAATACTGAAATTGTTTTTGCACAGAAAAAAAATTGCCTGTTAGAAATATTGCCTCTGTCTGGTGCCAGAGGTGGGTACTTTGGTCTGAGACCTGAGAAGTGACTTGGACTCGAGGTCTAAAGAGAAGAGAATTGGACTATACATCTTGAGAATTGAATTCATCATTAGGTCTAAAAACTTGGGAATGGGTAATGTAGGCTTAATGACAGCCACTGATCAGACTACCGGCAGAATAGGAAATTGTGGCCATTTTACCCTTTTGCAAAAGGTTTCAGGCTGGGCATCTGCAGTAAAACATCTGCCAAGTACATGTACATGTGGGATGTGATGATTGGGGGAGTCAGATGCTTCAAGGTGCCAAAAAGGACAACAACAAGTGAAACACATGGGCAAACCAAAGATTGAATGGCATGTGAAAATTGTACTGCGTAAAGCCAAATTATATAGTAGGATAAAGAAAAGATGGGGGAAAATATTTCATCTGTGGAATGTGTTTCTCCCATGTGAAACAGACTTTAGCAGTGATGGGAAGAGTTTGACTGCTGTGGATGCAATAAAGATAATTTTTCATGTGATTTTTTGCAAAGGATTGTATAACTTTTGATATGCCTTTTTTAAATAAAATGCGAATAAATATGTATCTTTACTTTTTCAAAACTCAAACTCCATTTTTAGTGTTATCGTATAAGAAATACATTTCGCTTTTCCTATCAGTAACACATTTCTTAGTTGAAAGAAGAAAAAGCCTGCCAGGGGAACGAATGATTTCTAACTTAACTGCAAATTTGGATCTTTCCAGTGAGTGATGATCTGATTGAGAAATAAAACCAGAGTACCTGTGCTGTACATTTTCAGTGTCTTGATAAAAAAAAAAAACAGTTTTGTAGAAATATTTACGGAACAAATGTGAAGCGTTTTGGTTCACATTAACTCTGTTACATCTTTCCATCTTTAGTTCAATAACCCTATAAAAGCCCTGCAAAACGTTTACACAGTAAAACATTTACTTTTTCAGTTTCATGCTCTTTTATTGTAAGACCGGTTTACAGAACTTGTCCTTCAAATATTCTTTGGTTGCAGCTGTTGAAGTTAGAGATATGTGCTGGTAAGGAGGCAATTACCGTTTGGTTTCAGGGTTTCAGGACATGTGTACAGAGTTACATAGATCTCTGAGAAGCAATTCAACGAGCAAAAATATGTTTTACTTACCCACCAAGGGATGATTCAAATCACTAAGCTCCTTTTCTCTTATGAGACTACAACCACAGACTATTTCAAGAAAATGTAAAATGGTGCTTTGTTTTCGCACATGCATTTAAAGCCAATTACTGTGTGCATTTCTGATTGTTGAATCGGTAATATGATGAACGCTTTACTCCAGAGAAATGCATATGATTTTCACCTAACTAGATTGTTTGGCACATGGAAACATTATTTGTAGTTACTACAAAAAAAACAAACAAACCCTACAAAAGAAGTCAGAGCATGAAAGCAAACTCCTACTTATGTTGTGTTTAACTCTCACAGAATGATTCAGTGTCGACTGTACTTTTATTTTGTCATCTTCTGTCATTCCAGCTGTCATTTGCCGCGACCACCCCGGTTCTGGCAGACAAGAAGAAGTACCCCAACTTCTTCCGCACCGTCCCGTCCGATAACGCTGTGAACCCAGCAGTTATCAAATTCCTTAATTACTACAACTGGAGCCGGGTGGGGACCCTCACACAGGATGTCCAGAGGTTCTCAGAGGTCAGCTCTTTGTGTGTGTGTTCTGTATAAAGACCACGTTATAAGGATTAAACCTGAACGAAACTTGAAAACTACATTAACTTTAACGATAGAATGCTGAAGTTTGTGAAATTCCATATTCATAATTGTAATAACTTCTTTACTTATTTTAATTTCTTGGTTAGCGTTTGCTTTTTTTTACTGTATTTGACTCCCATAAAATCAAACACTCTAGGACATCTAAACTTTGAGGTGAATTTTATTTATTTATTTATTTTGCATTTTCAGAGTTTTGATTATATTTCATGCACTTGTGTTGTAAAGACCGTTTTTGAAATTGAAAGATATCTTTGTATATTGTAATAATATTGTTAAAGAAATGTCGAAAAGATTATTTTCAAATGAACAAAATTTTAGTTTATTTCTAAATGAACAAAATCCCTAGAATAAGGCTGAGTAGCTACTCTGCAAGCCCTGTCTCAGTAAAATAAAATCAGATACTGGGTCCAAGATGAGGCCCCAAGTGTCAAATACCTGAAAGGAGAAATCCTGCATTCATTTGAATATGTCTTCTATCAAACCCTAAACGTCTACAAAGGTCCCGAAAGTGCATCTGCACGCCACTGAAGTCATAAATGTTTCTACTTAAAACATTATCTTTTACACCAACCCTTTAGAGTCTAGTTTGCATGATTTTCTATAAAAGCCTCAATATTTTTTATTGCCAAAAGAAACATTTCTGCCAAGTGAAACATTGTTCTTTATTTATATGCGTGTTCCTTCTTCAAGTTAAAATATTTGCTATGAATATATCTGTTGGTTCTTGGACAAACTTGGGACCTAATATTGATAGGGTAAGACTTAATTTACTTAATTTGGGGCTTATTTTCTCCCCATCATATGCACATTTCTCTTACATCTTAGTGGTGTAAGAAGAGAAGCTATTTTAAGGAAATAAAATATCTAAAATGTAATACTATAACAGTCATAATTTGATCTCTGAGACTGGTTTAGTTAGAGATAAAAGTGTTTCTTTTCGTTTGTTTTTTCTTTTAAAAATTAGATCACAGTTTTCTTTTCTGAATTTCTGTTACCCCAGTATCATAGCAATGACCTTATAACATAACTTCATCTCAACATATCTCATTCAAATGCTCTGTCTGCACTAAAGAAGATTCACTCACTTCGACATGAAGGACCTTATTTCTAAATGTTGTGCTATTTCATCAATTAACAACAACTTGGGGCATGCATACCCTGTATATAGAATATTAAACTTTCAGCCTGAGATAGTAATCACCGAAGAAGAATAAAAATGGGGGGGGGGGGGCGGCCAATGACACCTTTTCAAAATCAACTTCATCTGTCTTGACATAGAAGTTCATCAAATACTCTACACCTTCCATCCCAGTATGAGTGCAACATAGAAACAGTAACACAAATACTTTATAAACATATCAGTTGATGATTTATAAAAATGTGTCTATTTTTAATGGACATATCCATGTAAGGTGCATTTTTTTTTTTTTTTTTTTACTTATCAACTTGTACATGGCAATTTTAAAAACAGTGCACCAGCAACTTCAGTGGCGAAAATTCTGAAGGAAAGTTTCCTAGATTTGTGGATAGTGTTGCTTACCCAACATTTTGTATCTCCATAGATCCAACTCGGTGCTCGGTGGATTTTGCTAAAGCCAGAACAGTTTAACTCATCAAGACCTGATGCAACATATGAGTAATTCAGTTTTCATTCCCAGAGAATGCCTTAGGCCTGAATAAGTTAACTCATTAGAGCTCTTCTCATTGTGCCTCTATATAGGAGAGACATTTTCAGGTTTTATTATGGTGAAGCATTATATCATTATATGCCTCAATTTACTGCGCTCTCATTTAGGCTGAATGTTTTGCCTCAAGCTGATTCACCAACTATAGGTGCAGCTGAGAGCACACTAATCATCAATACTTTTTTTTTTTATATATATAATTATCATTAAGATACTGTGAGTATGATTTAAATGGATGACAGTCATTTATATTAAATGTATAGTTATTTTCTCTATAGTATTTTTTGCCCCTGGGACACAAAAAGTCCTAAGGGACTTGCTGTAATCTCTGAAGATTAGATATTTTAAGAGATTTCTCATGAGATTAAACACACCTGAAACAAAAGCTGATCATTAAATCTGGGAAATCTTGACTATTTATAAAAGGAGGATGACAAATAAATATTGACCCCAGAAAATGAATACTGTTTTACAGCAACTCTCATCATTCAAATCACTGGCCATCTGAGCAACTCAAACTGACGCAAAAGTCACCTTTTAATTTGTTCATCACATTTTATTTGTTGTTTACTGATAAGTGATGCTTTTGATGAAATAGCTCAGGTTGAAATAAGTGTCTCCTGGATATTGTGTTGTGTGTAAACCCATAAGACCAAGACCCTTAAGGAGACAATAAAAAGAAAGTGAGGTTAAAAAGCGATGCAAGATGGGGGAAAAAAATGTTGCAATCAGAGTATTATTGTGAAATTTTAAAATTAAAAATTCTGTTGGTTCCATTTGGTCTCGATATCAAGGCAGGTCTCTATCACCACCATCTGGAGAGAGAAGTGGAGGATTCGTTCATAAATGATGAAACTAAAAAGAAAAACACAAACACAAAACCAGAGTTGGACCACAGACATTGTGGAGTAAGGTACATGTAGATAAAGAGTCACTGGTGTAATCATCACGTATAAAATAAAGACATGTAGTGACAACAGAGAACAGTGAAATCCAAAGACAGCAATTAAACAAGAAAACCCTTCCTAAATAAAGCTTCAGAAGGAGTTAATCTTATAAGATCTTCCAACCACAAAGGGCAGTGAGTTTTAAAGATGATATATCTTTTACTATTTGCAGCGCAACAGAATACATGTGTGTAAATGAGAGGGGCATCAGTTTAACAGTTATGTGACACGGAGTAGAAATAAAGAAGAGAACTTCAAGTGCTTAAGGTCAACGGTCCAGCGCAATGGAGAGCGCGGAAGTGAGGTGAAGCAGTGTGTGCGAGCAGGTTGGAATGCATGCAGAAAAATGTCAGATATGATGTGCGATGAAAGGGTTTCAGCAAGAATGAAGGGAAAGGCACTGCAAGCAATGTTATATGGTTCAGAGATGGTGCCAATGAGGAAAAGGCAGGAGGCAGAACTGGAGGTTGCACGGCTTAAGATGTTGGATAGATCAGGTATGGGTATGTCAGAGGGACACCTGATATTAGATGTTTAGTGAATAAAGTCCAAAAGGCCAGAATGAGATTGTTTGGACATTTTAAGAGAAGAGGCGATGATTGATTTGGGAGATGGATGCGGAGTTTGGAGTCATAAAGGTTTGGAGGAGAAGACCAAAAAGGAGATTTTTGGATCTGGTGAAAGAAGACTTTTTATTGAATTTCTTAGCACCCACAGGCAAAGTAGCCTGGCGTTGGTGTACAGAACTTGAAATTGATTTCTAGACATAGAACGATCCTTATATTTGCTCTTCAAAGAACATTACCGCATTACAGGATTCATTTAACCCTCCAGTGTTGCTGCTCTGAGTCACTTGAAACACACTGGATCGATTGCTTCTAAAGTCCTACTTCTGAGAGAACATGAATCAACCCTTTAGATCAAAGCTGATGGTTACATTAAAGAAAATGGTTATTCAAAAATTATGTGGATCACCTCTCAAACAGATGCAGCATCAGGTCGGAGGAAAAAAAATCCTTTGTGTAGCTTCCTGCATTCAGTCAGGCCTGCAGTACATGTGCGTCTATTAAATCAGCAGATAGCAGAATACAGCATAGACTTTTATGCGCTGGCTGAAGTAATCATCACCACTAGTTACTGACTCAGCACTTGTCACATTCATAATCAATTTAGTTCAGTTGAAAAATACTTTATTAAGACCAAAGGGAAATTAAGTGTTGCTGTAACTCATATTATCAAAGTTTCTTCTAAGTGTTGCTGTATGCGGTGCTGTATGCAACTCCGAGTTGGTTATCAAGAAGCCTCTGACTAAGGACGCTCTAAAAATATAGGTTCCTTCCTTGTTTGGTCAACAATACAACGTTAACCGTTCAGCGCATGATGTTGAGGGTCTCCCAACGGCCTTTTCTTGAAAAACATTCAACAATACAACTCCAAAGATGCCTTCCTGCTTGAGGTGTCTCACAAGTTGGTGGCTTATGATGATACACAGTTTGCCAAGGTAATATTTGAAAATTTGTAGTGATGCTTTATGAAAACTCTGACTTCTTCCCTTGGCAGTTGTGAGGTGTAACTGCGACAGGTTAAAGAAACTGACTTCTAGCGAGTCTAGAGTGTGGATCAAATCACCTGTTTTTTTGTGCTATTCCCCTTCCCCCCCCCAAAAAAAAAACAATGTATGCAGGTCCTTCTCAGTCCAGATTGTGGACTGATGCTGTAATGATGTTAACATACAAGGGAAAGGGGATTTGGGCTGTGGGTTCCAGTTTTGAGGTTTCAGGAATGTATTCCCATTTCACTGGCTGTGGTCATAATGTAAAGCATTATTTATACATTTGATTTTAATTCTTGCAGTATCATAAACCATATCAGATATGAAAATCTTAATAATAATTAAAAAAAGTAAATGCAATAAACATTAGGATAATTTGTTTTACTTCTAAGAGAGTAGGATGTGGGGAGGGGGAGTATGTATGCGAAGTCTCATTGTAAATCTTGGAGAGACAAAATCCCTTTATCTCTCTCTTCCTGAAGACACCGAGGGGCTTAGGACAGGCTGAAAACAGACAGCCAGATTCAATCAGCCCACCACAAGATTGGCTTCTAATCCTGATTTACAAATATTCAAGAATCTCTTCCACACTTCATGATTCTTGCAATCTTCTGTCAAGTTCAAAGCTTGCTGTTTTGCAGTTACTTTTGGAAATTATTCAGTGTTACACTTTGCTGATGAAAAATTAAGGTTTTGCATTAGTCTAGTCATAAATAAGGAGGGGGGGGGACTAAAAAT